CTATGCATCTGCTAATACTCTTCCTTTAGACTGAATGCGAAGAAGCGTTCTAAGTTCTTTATTCGCTAGACAAGCTGGAGCTGTAGGGACTGTTAAAACACAGTCACTACACGGGGCTGACCATGAGTTTGCGCACAGGTGGGTCTAAATGAAAATGCAGTGATCTGGAAGGAGCTGTGTGTGCGTGAGAGTGGATGAGAGATATAAAGAAACATCACAGCAGCACATAGGTAAGCAGCGAAGAACCTCTGGAGAGCCATTTCAAACAGAACACCTGGAGGAAAAGGGTGCCACACAGGAAATGCTGGGAACCGTGAGCTCCATGGAAAATGCTTTCCTTCATTTGCATCATATTGAATTTAGGACAACAGAACTGTATGTATGTTATTCATAAATAAACATGATTGTGCCAAAGAGGTAACTGACTTGTAATTGTTTTTCCCATCTATGTGACCCTTTTATTTTTTTTTAGCTTACTGGTTGAGTCCAAAGGATATCCATAATTTGGATGCTTTGGGAAATCTAGTTCAACAGTGTGAAACTGGCAAATCCCCGTAAAGGGGAGTTTCGTGAATAGAGTGTTGCCTTTTTTCCCCCCTCCCTTTTGCTCTCTCCACCTGATAGTAGAGTGACTTAATACCGAGTATCTGGGCTACCATTAAGGGACTCGGAGAAAACAGATTAACAGGTAAGAAATGAGCTGTGCTAATGGAATGTGCATTATAAAAAGGCAAAGTGGTCCTTTTAGACAAAGCCTAAGAAAGGAGGTTATATTGTTTTCATGTGTTATGTCTACATATAATTTATAGGAAAATAAAAATGTACTAATTGTTTTTACATCTTTTTTTTACAATAATTATGGGATTACTAAGGTATGGAAGTGACCTAATAGTTACAATTGTGACCTCTAAGTTATTGTTAATTTTACTGTCAGTATGTACTTCACATCTCCTACTTAATGGTATGCTAATTGTGCAGCAGGATGTCACGTTCTCCAACGTACAGATTCCCTATTTCAATTGCAGCGAAGTAAATCTCCATTACTAATGAGTAAGCATTTCTTTTCCACATACATTTGCATTATAATGGACATTTTATTTATGCACTAAAATTGTTCTTTCCTTGACAACAACTATATATTTTATTCTACAGTAAAGGCTATGACAGGATGATTCATTCCTTTCTGTTGGGTTTGTCTGTATTTAAATTGTCAAATGTTTTGGATAGCCTGACATTTTCTGTCCCATGTTATTTTTCTGTACTTCCAGAATAAATGTATGTATTTGCTTTAAGACAACGTACTTATGACAAATCACAAAAAAGTAAGCTCACACGTTGGCCATAAATTAAGCCATATTTTCAAAATTGTTGCATTTTTTCATTCATATTGCTGAGAAATCTCAACTATTAATGTCAGTGCAAAGTGACCTTTATGATATGTTTGACTGATTTGAATGTAAAGAACAAGTGACCACAAGTGACCCATATCGCTGCAAGATCCCACTCAGCTTAACGCAGCATAGCTCTTTGGCTGTTAGATACGATCCCCCCAACAGACGTTTGCTGCCCTGCTGGTGCATCTATCCACAAACGCAGCGGGCAGCCGAGTGAAACGAAGGGGGAAGGCCCTCTGTGACATCTGAGCTATGCAGCCGTGCTGCCAGCTCCGCTCCCTCTGGGGGGCTGTGGCCGGTGGCTGGGTGCCGCTGAACTGCTGAATGTGGGCAGCCGGCGCTGCGGCCGAGGATTCCCTTCGCCCGCCAGAGTGGTGACCCAAGAGGCTTTCCCTGGAAACGGGGACATTGGCAAATGGAGTCCCTGTGGCGGACATCCTTCTTCATTCCATGTGGCCCCAGGAAAATGCGTCACCTTTTATACACAAATAAGGACTGTGAGTTCTATTGATAAAGTGATGGCTTAATCTTTGATAATATGCAGCAAAGAAGGTGTTGCTTTGATTTTGGTGGAACGACTCCCTATGCAGTAAGTTATGTTGCAGGGATTTGTTAGATGCCCGAAGAAGGTTGGTGTGTCGAAAAGAGTGCATTAATTAACAATCATTTGTATACCTGATGATTTTTAAGTTGGCCTGGTGGTGGGTGTGTATATGGGGAAGAAGATGGGTGTTGGGTTCTTTTAATGATATAAGTACATGGGATATATTAAAGCAACAAGATGTGGTGAAGTCGCTAGATAGCATTCCAGAAGTGCAGGAGGCAATGTGTGCAGCCAGCGGGTAGGAGTAACTGATTGATTTCCTGGGCACTGTGCATGAATTCTTTCTAGCCTTGTGTATATCCTGATAATCGGATGGCTTACAGTATAGATACAAAGTTTGTTTTGTTTTTATTTTGAAAGGCCTACGGTATGCAGCCTTTTTCCCAGACAGCAGCAAAAAACAAGGTGAACAATTTTTGCACTATGTGGTTTTGAATTCTGTCATATTTTCTATTACGTTTCTGTCTTCCCTGAGGCTAGCTTAGCTGACTGTATTCACCGCCACCGTCACCCGCGTCGCTCCCGGCTCC